ATAAATCATAAGAAAATAATATCATATCATATACCAATGGTTAATAAAAAGAATTATTAATCTTTTTGAAAATAAAAATAAATAGTTATATGGGAATTATATAGTTAACCATGTAAGTGCTAGAAAAAAAAAAAAAATACCCTGTTTTTTTTTACAAAAAGAGTTTCTTTTGTAGTGAATTTATACTTTGAATTAAGAGAAAATTTTATATAAATAATAATAAAATTTTTATGTATGCTAAATATATAATTTAAATGCATTTATTAATTATGTGTGTTTGTTTATTTTAACACAATAAACTTAAGCGTTAATGGTTTTTTGTAACATAATTAAAAAAATATATAAGTACAAATAAATAATCAATGAGGATTTATGCCATTAATAAATATAATGTAATTCTTATTTAATTAAATGAATATCTCTTAAAAGCTAAAAAATTTTCAACGAAGAAGACTACATAAATACCTTTTAAATGTTTATAACTAATTTATTAACTGGGTGTTCGGTGACTTTACCAGAGTACTGAACACACAAATTAATAAAGAGCATGTAGAGTTGACTCTACGGTTTTGATGTATTTATATATATTTTTATATGCTTTGAACGAGTTATCCCTAATTATGTAATCTACTCCATTCAGCATTCTTTAATTTCAATAGGCATTTATTTACTTTAATAAAAATCCTTATTTTTATTAAAAATTTAAATCCTTATTGAATATTGACTAATAATTAAATGTAACTTAATTATCTTTTTGTTGTAAGTTATATTCAGCAATTTACATATATTGCTGTTGAATTAACAAACATAAACAATTATTAAAAATGCAAATTAATTATATGAACATTAATTACGTGAAAATTTTATAGTCATATGTATAAAATTTTCTCTCACAAATTAAAAATATAAAAATTATGCAAATTAAACTCTTTTATGTAAACATTTTTATTTGTTTAAAATCTCATTTTATTGGTACTAAATCTTACTCTCGATTTTTATTTAACCAATTCTTCTCTCACTATTTTTTCATTCAATCATTTCCAAAAAAAAAATAAATCTTTTTTTTTTTTTTTTTTTCGCGTTAGCACAACCAATTACGTATTCTTCATATAGCTAATCCTTTTTATTACCATTAAGGTTAATGAAGCCTTTTATTAACCAGTAGGAAAAGAGATTCAATTTTCATTTTCTAAAATTAAGCTATTAGGTAATTATACTAGAGAAACATATATAAGATTCAATTAAGTATTTTGATACAAGTTATTGAAAAGAATAAGAAACCTGAATTTGTTCAGTAGAACTTAAAATTTATTCTGATATATATAAAATAGATGTTAGAATATCATATAGATTAAATAATAATATATACTATGATAAATAAAAAGGTTCAAAATAGGATTAAAACTGTAGGACAATTCAGTGAGAATAAAATACTGTTATTATTTTCCTCAAGGTAGTAGATTATTGTCCATAAGTAACGTTATGGCTCTCTTTTATATAATATTTAGATGAATAAATAGAATAAAAATATTATATTTTGTGTACGTTAAATCTCTGGAGAAATGTATAATTATAAATGCATACACTAAAATAGTTATTCAAAGGTATATATACTAAAAAAATAATATATATGTACTTGCACAAAAATAGAGTACGCTATAAAAAAAACTTTAATTTTTTTTTTTCTTTGGTGAGCATATATGTGAATTACTATAAAGTGTATATTTTTTTTTAATTTAAAATGTAATATTCAGGAAATTATTATTTGGAGTGTCATGTAAATTAACTTAACAAAAAAACAGTTAATTGACTAAGTATATTTGATATTAATTAATAGAAATAAAAATTCGAAATTAATATTTTAATTAAATTAAAATTAAATTAATTACAGTTTACATGTTCTTAATTAATTTGTTTTTTTGATACTAGCGAAGTCATTAAAAAGACAATCAATGGACAAAGAATTATGAAATAAGGTTGTTTAATAAGTTTCTTAGAACAAATTTTGTTTAAATTTATATAAAAAAATGTTATATTAATTATAATAAAATTTTAATGTTTGTAACATTTACATAGATTAATTTATATTTAATTAATAACTTATTTTTGTCAACTTGTGGGTAACGAGCTTAAGTTGCTGAGCATCATTTATAATGTTATGGTAAAATAATTAAGGAGAATGTAAATTTTTTAATAAAAACATAGGGTTTTTATTAAAGTAAATAAACGCTTTTTGAAAATATAAATATTTAAATAATTTAACTACATATAATCAGTTTACTCATTTAAGATTTAAAAATTATACAAAAATTTATTGAATTAGTTAAGGAAACTTTATATGCTCTTTATTAATCCGTTTGTTCACTATTATAAAGAAGTCACTAAGCAAACAATAAATCAAATATATATCACATTTCACCTTACATTTTTAATATACTATAAAAAAAAATATTCTACATTATCATCCTCAAAAAAAAAAAAATGTATTTTTTATATAAAAGCAAGCAAGAAAAAAAAAAACATATATATCTACAATTTTTTTTATTGTATTAACTTTTAGAGGTAGTATTTTTTATAAAGTACTTTTAGTGCTTGTAATTTCTCTTTATTATGAACGCTTATGTGTGTACATTTCAACTGAATTTTAACATGTACAAATGATAATGTTTTTACCTGGTTAATTTATTTACTTAAATATTATTTAAAATATATCGATAATATTATTTAAATATCATATTTGCAGTAGAATTTAAATATTTTTTTTCTTATATATATTTTTTTAATAATTTATATGATGTATAATAAACTTTGCTAATTTAAAAAGCGTAAATATTTATACATTTACTGTATTACTGTTTTATTAATTGGGTGTTCGGTGAATTTGCTAGAGTACTAAACAAACAAATTAATAAAGAGCATGTAGAGTTGCTTCTACGATTTTGATGTATTTATATATATTTTTAAATGCTTTGAACGAGTGATCCTTAATTATGTAATCTACTTCGTTCAGCATTCTTTGCTTTTAATAGGCATTTATTTACTTTAATAAAAATCCTTATTTTTATTTAAAATTTAAATCCTTATTGAACATTGATTATTAATTAAATGTAAATTAATTGTTTCTTTGTTATGAATTATGTTCAGCAATTAATATATATTGCTGTTGAATTAAAAAACATAAACAATTAGTGACAATACAAATTAATTATATAAATATTAATTACGTGAAAATTTTATTGTTATATGTATAAAATTTTCTCTTACAAAATTCATTAAAATCATATTTCGTTCCCAAAAAAAGTAAAATTCTCTTTTTTTTTTTTTTTTTAATATATCTCACTCTTATTGGTAACAAATCTTTTTCCAATTGATTTTTTTTTTTTTTATCAATTTTTTTTTCTTGACGATTTTTGTTTTTCTTTTAAAAATACAAACAAAAAAGAATTGATAATTTTTTTTTTTTGTATGACCAACTGCATATTCTTCATATAACTACTCCTTTTATTTTCCAAAAAAGGTTAATAAAGTTTTTTAACCAATTACATAATTTTTTGTATACATGAAAGAAATAAAAATGTAATTTTTTTCTCCTTTTATTCATATATATATATATATATATATATATATATATATATATATATAAAATAGCAAAATTTTAAGCTATATATTTTTTTTCTTCCTTTCTCAGGAGATGAAAAATAAGTGGTAAACAATGTATAAAACATTTATTATCTTTTGTTTAGTAGAAATTGATTTATTTTTAATGTTTATCAAATAGATGTTAGTATATTAGCGTGTCTCCAATTTTGCATGTTTTTTTGCTACAATAATTATATTTTTGTATATTTTAACATATACATATTTATTTTACTATTAATTTATATATAGTTTTATTTTCTTTTAATTTGATTTTATTTTTCACATTTCATTAAAATATAACATATTTAGCTTAATTTTACATTAATCTTTTTATATTCATAATTTATGCAAGATATGCAAAAAATAATAATGGAACATATTTCCTTTTTTTAAAATTAGCAAATATATGATTAAAAAAAAAATTTGCGACACTACAGAGTTAAAAATAAAAATTCAATGAAAAAAAATAATCTTTAAAAAAATTATAAATCACTATTTTTTAATATTTTCATTGCAATTTTATGCTCAAAATGCTACAATAAAAACCTTTAATAGTACATCATTATATACATATGAAGTAAAAAAATTAATAATTTTCTTTCTTTTAATTTTTCGTAGAATTATATAAAAAAAAAAAATTAATTTTATTTTTACTTTTTACTTTATTTTAAATAAAATATATGCTGTTTTAAAACATCTCCAGTATTTATTTATTATTGGATCGTTAACTTTGCATGTATTTTCTAAATGAATTGATATTATAGTATCATTAAAAATAAATACATTTTATTAGTATAATACTTTTATTTTTGTTTTATATATTTGTTATATACCATTTTTATTAACGCAATTAGTTTTATTTTTATTTAATACATTGTTTTATTTTATTCTTATTTAAAATATTATTAGTTTTTTTTTTTTAATATATTATTTCGTTTTGATATAATAAAAACTGGTTATTTTAAATTTTCTTTGGCATCTTTTTTATAAATTTATATTATAATTTATTAGTAAAATAAATATATTACAGAAAACTGCGCATAACAAAATATATATTAACTTTTTAAAGAACATATTACTAAAAATAAAACTAAATGAACAACATGTATAATAATCATAAATAATGTTTCTGTAATTCCTTTTGTAAAAAAGTTTTAGAAATTTTTTTTAAATAATTAAAAAAAAATATATATATTTTAGTATTTAGCTTTTAAAATTGTGAATTTTTGTACATTTGTTCATATATATAACAAGGTTCATTTATTACTTTTATGAATATATATTTATATTATTAATTTTTGGTGTTCTCATTATTGAAAAAAAAAAATTATTATTTTAAATATATTTATTTATTTCTTAAAATGAAAAACTTAAAAATATTTCATTTTTTTAATTTTTTATTTTTTATTTATTTATCATTAATAATTTTATTTAATATTAATATATTTGGGACAATAAAAAAGGATGCATTACAAAAAGAATATCAAAAATTATGTAAGGTAGTAGGAAGGAATCTTGCTGAAGCAGGTTCATCAAATAAAGTATTTAGTATTAAATATGTAAATCCTAATGTAAATGTAAATCGTTTAAATGACTTCTGCGATCGTCTTTTTTTATCATATTGTGTTACAACTAATTGGTTAACTGAACCACCAAATAGTTTGGCTGCGACATTTATTAATAATGCTTTAAAGATTGCTGATGTAATATACGCTAATTTACATTCAGAAAGAATTAATCCTTCATTTAAATTAATACGAAACGAGGTAACCAGAGTGAAAGAGCGTAATGCATTAATTACTATATACGGAAGGGAACCACATGTAATTGATTATATGAAAAAACTTTTTGAAATGGAAAATTTTCTGACAAAACAATTATTGCATAGTATGGTTGGAAAAACCCAATCTATTTTAGAAGCTATAATAAGCAATGAAGAAGAAGTAATAGATAAAATTAAGGATGAATTATTAAAAAGGAGACTTATACTTCCAGATTATCATGTTCGCAGAATGATGTATAGAATAGTTAGACGTGCTCATGACATAGCTTTAGAAGAAGGTATTCTAAGTAAGAATATTCCGGAACCTGTGGGTTGTTACCTAGAAGAGTTCAGTAGTTGAATTAAAATTCTTTTAATTTCCTTTATACTTTTTATAGAAAATATATGTAATTATAAAAACATCTGTGTAGTATGGTTTTTGTTTTTTTATTGCATTGAAACATTTGATAATGAAAAATACATACATTACTTTTTAAGCTTGTGATTTATTAACTAGGTGCTCGGAGACTTTGCTAGAGTACTTAACAAACCAATTAATAAAGAGCATGTAGAGATGACTCTACGATTTTCTTATACTTATGTATATTTTTATATACTTTGAACGAATGACCTTTAATCATAAATTACTTCGTTCAGCATTCTTTTACTTCAATAAGTATTTATTTACTTTAATAAATAAATCCTTATTTTTATTAAAAATTTAAATACTTATTTAACATTAATTATTAATTAATTATAATTATTAGTTTATTTATTACGAGTTATATTCAGCAATCATTTTATATTGATATCGAATTAACAAAACACAAATACTTATTAAAAATGCAAATAAATTATATGCATATTAATTACATGAAAATTTTATCTTCATATGTATAAAATTTTCTCTCATAAATTCAAAATATAAATATTATGCAAATTAAACACTTTACAAAAATATCATTATCTTCTTAAAAAAAATCTCTCTCTCTGATTTTTTTCTCTTCTCCAAAAAAAAAATTAAAATCTTTTTTTTATTTTTTTTTTTTTTATGTTTATCTTTTTCGAAAGAAACATTTCTCAAAAAAAAAATCCAATAATTTTTTTTTTTTTAGTTAGCACAACTAACTATGTATTCTCCACATAGCTAGTCATTTTATAGCCAAAAAGGTTAATGAAGCTTTTTATTAACCAGCTTGTTATATAACATTTAAAGAATATTTTATCCTTATTAGAATCTAATAATTATTTAAATAGGTGTAAAATAGTTAGATTTGTGTCTTTGATATTTAAGGGGTTTTCCTGACATCTAGCTAAAAATACTATTATATAGCAACACATATATACATACGTTAAAAAAAAAAGATTTTTTTTTTTTTTTTAATTTAATATTTTACTTATTATATTTAGTATTTCCAAAAAAAAAAAAAAAAAAAATTTTTTTTGTAAATGCTTATTTTGTTGAGTTTGTATATTAATTTTTTTTTATTGAGAAAGGATTGTGTTAAAAATTAATAATTTTTGTAAACAAAAACTTTTATATATTTAACTAAATCTTTTCACATTAGATGTTTAACTTTTAGTAAAAATATGGGAATTTTTTTTTAAATTATACAATTGTCTCCCCATAAAATTGCTAGTATGTGGTTAATAAAAGGTATTGCTAACCTTTTTGAGAATAGTAAGTAATAGATGTATGAAAAATAAATAGTTATCTTTTGATCAATAAATAATATTATAAATCTCTTTTATATAATTGGATGAATAGAATAAAAACGTTTTGTTTTTTGCATGGTGAATTGTGATAACAATGCGCAATCGTAAACACGTATAGTAGAATAGCTATTCAAAAGTATATACATTAAAAAAAAAAAAAATTTAAATAAATAATTATGTTTTTTTTTTTTTGTGTGTGTATATACAATTTAAAAAAATATATTTATATTTTTTTTTTTTTTTTTTTTTTTGCCTATGGAGAAAACTTAAAAAAAAAATTTCTTATAATATTTTTTTATTATTTTATATTTTTCTGGGGGAAAGTATATATATGAATTATTATGGAGAGTTTATTTTAAGTTAAAATATATTATTAAGGAAATTACATTTTGAAGTGTAGCGTAAATTTAAAAAAACAATTAATTAACTAATAACTAGTATTTGATGTTAACTAATAAAAATTAAAATTTTAACTAAATAAAAAATAAATGGAATTTACTTGTTCTTTATTAATTTGTTTGATATTCGTAATATCAATGAGCAATCAATAAGTTAGCTATTTAAGCTCTACGTAAAAAAAAAAAAGATTATTTGTTAATTTTTTTGTTTTTCATAACTTAAAATACGTAAAAGATTTTTATAGTTTTTTTTTTAAAAATAACATAATTGGTCGAAGTATAAATGTGATTAAAAAGTTTCTTTCTAGTGGATTTTTATTTAAATTTTTATATGAATATTTTATATTAACAATAAATCTTCTTGTTTTGTAGTATTTATATAATTTATTTTATATTTTGTTGATTATATATGTTTTTCTATTTAAGACGAAATCGATTTTAATTGCCAAACATTACTCAAAGCATTGTGAATAAACTATATGTAATTAAAACCAGTAGTTAATGGAGATTTAAATTTTTAATAAAAATATAGCATTTTTATTAAAGTGATTTATTATTTTTCTGTTCGATAACTTTCCTGGATTACTTAACAAGCAGGTTAGCAAAGAACATCTATGGATGTCTTTACTAATTTAATAAATTTATTCATAATTTTTAATGCTATAAACAAGTAAACTATGTTTATATAGTCTACTTCGTTGATCATTTATTTTTTTCAAGAGACATTTATTTACTTTAGTAAAAATTCTACATTTTTATTTAAAATTTGAATTCTCCCTGATTATTGATTTTTAATTAAACGTATTTTACTTATAATGTTATAAGTAATGTTTAACAACGCAAGTTTCATTGCTTTCAAATTAACATACATAAATAATGAAATAAAATTTAAAATATATAAATATTGCAAACGTTAAAATCTTATTATGGTTAATATAAAATTTTCTTATATAAATTTAAACAAAATATTCTTCGTTAATAAAAGGAATTATTAACCTTTTTTATGATGAAAATAACTAGCTATCTGGAAAATATATAGTTAATCATTCATATAACATATAAATAAAAAAAAAAAAATTGTCTGTTAATTTTTTTTGCCTTTTTTAGAAAGAATTTATGTAAAAAAATATATTTATTTTTTAAAAATAAAGATTTAAAGATCGGAAAAATGTTTGAAAAAGATGAGAAGTAATTTGTTTACGACAAAATTTCTTTATAGTGAATTTTTATTTTGAGTTTTAAGAGAAAATTTTAAATGTAAATAATGAAAATTTCACAATTGGAACGTTTATATAATTTAATTTATATATCATTAATTAAACTTGTTAACTTGAAGCAGCTGAAGTGAGTTTCTAAACATTATTCATGATATTATAAGTAAAAATATATTTCATTAAAACCAATATACAAAGAGGATTTAAATTTCCAATGAAAATAAGGATTTTTATTAAGGCAAATAAATGACTCATGAAAAAATTAATGCTCAACTAAGAAGATTACTTAAATATAGTTTGCTTTTTTTATATCATTTAAAATTATACATAAATTCATTAAATTAGTAGAGTTAACTCAACAAGCTCTTTATTAATATGTTTTCTTAGTAATCTAGCGAAGTCCTCAAGCAGGAAGTTAATAAACCAATGAAACAAGTAACTTTTTATTCAACATTCTTATTTCTTAAATTTTCGTCCATTCAAAAATTTCAAAAAAAAATATTTTTTATGTTTTTTAAATTTTACAAAAACAAAAAAATTAATAATTAATTTTTCTTGTCTAGCTCATGCATGACTGACTACTTATTTTCCACATACTTATTACATTTTATTCTCAAAAAGGTTAATAATACCTTTTATTAACTAAATGTATATAATTAACTATTTAAGCTAGTTGTATTACAAAATAAGTAGAAATTTTCCTGAATTTTCCTTATTCATATGACCAGTTGAGGTTATATAAAATCTGTACATACATTTAATTCTACGCCTTTATGGTATTGATTTATTAACTGGGTGTTCGGTGACTTTCCTAGAGTACTGAACAAACAAATTAATAAAGAGCATGCAGAGTTGCCTCTACGATTTTGATGTATTTATATATATTTTTAAATGCTTTGAACGAGTGATCCTTAATTATGTAATCTACTTCATTCAGCATTCTTTGCTTTCAATAGGCATTTATTTACTTTAATAAAAATCCTTATTTTTATTAAAAATTTAAATCCTTATTGAACATTGATTATTAATTAAATGTAAATTATTTTTTTCTTTGTTATGAGTTATGTTCAGCAATTTAACTATATTGCTGTTGAATTAACAAACATAAATAATTAGTAAATTTGCAAATTAATTATATTAATATTAATTACGTTAAAATTTTATTGTCATATGTATAAAATTTTCCCTCACAAATTAAAAATATAAATACGATGTAAATTAAACTCTTTTATATGTAAATATCTATTATCTGTTTAGGTTATCATTTTTATGGGTACTAAATCTTACTCCATATTTTTATTTTACCAATTTTCTCTCTTTCATTAAGTCTTTTCAAAAAAAATAAATATATTTTTTTTACATATTTCCATTTATAAAAAGAAAAACAAAAAAAATTGATCATTTTTTTTTTTTTTTTTTTGCGTGTGCATGACCAACTACGAATTCCTCATATAGCTAGTCCTTTTTATTACCAAAAAAGTTAATAAAGCCTTTTATTAACCACAAAGTCACCGAACACCCAATTAATAAATCATGATACTATAAACATGAATGTTTTATTATGTATGTTAAACTTTTTCTTACAAAAGAATCCAAAAATAAAAATTCATTGAAAAGAAACTTTCTCAAAAACAATTTATTTCTCATCTCTTTTGAATATTATTTTTTCCGGACCATAAATTTTTTTTTTTTTTATTTATCTGGCACTTAAATATCTGTTTATTTTACATGCTGCTAGATATTTTAATTCTCAAAAAAGATTAATAATTCCTTTTATTAACCACGTATATATTATGAAATTCAAAGTTTTTAACATACTCCTTAATAGTTTCCACATAAAATTAATAAAAATTGTTACATTTATCTATCTCCCAAAAAGAATTTAAAAAAAAAAATCATTTCCTTTTTAAAAATAAAAATGCATATATAATATTTTTTTTAAAATTTGTTACTATTATCTTGATTTATTAATTGTCTATTCAGTGACTTTTCTAGAATATTGAACAAACAAGTTAATAAAGAGCATACAGAGT